AAACTTTGTATCACCCCGTCCTCTAACAGATGTCAAATTGGACCTAGAGCTGCAGAGAGATGCACTCAAGTGCTACTCCTTTGCTGTAGCAGATGTAGGCCTGGTTGTCACTGGGGATGTGTTTACAAGAATGCCAAATGTCTGAAGAGTATTTTGAATTTGCTATTTTAGGAGTCTTGCAGGGCTGCACCCACACCTAGTTCTGTCTTCAAAATAGCTTTGTTTCTGAAACCTATGGTATATCTGGTTCAGGTTTTTTTCCCATGCTTCTACAAAACATTGCTTTTTAGAGATTTTACACTGAAATGCTGTTTTGGTGGAAGGGTGTTGGAACTGATGGCTGGCTGGCCTCAAGTGACTAGGTTAGGAACCATCAAGGTTGAACTCTGGATGGCATATCTGTCATTGTAGGGTGGCTTTTTGGTGAAGGATGATGGGTTACAGCTTGTACCTTACCTTACTTCTACGCAGCGGAAGACAGACCTTGATTGTACATGTGTGGTAGGAGAATGCCTGAAGGTGCTTGTTACTGTCACGCTTTACTAAACAAAGATGAGTTTGTGATTTAGCTGTCATAAGTGTTTGGGACATAGCTGGAGAATGAAGTTAATAAGTATTTATTGCCTGTCCTTGTAATGATTTTCTGTTTATTTCTTAGGGGTTTTCTCCTGATTTCTTAATCTTCAGTATCTTGTTACAGTCAAATATAATAACTTATAGAAAAGTAAATCATGGCTTCTGCTTTGCATAAATGTTCTGTGGAACCAAAGCTCCTGTTTCAAAGCTTCGCTGAACTGATCTTGCACTCTAGGAGTAACAGTTGGAGTGCTTGGTCTTTAATCTGTAATGTAAAACTTGTAATGGTTTGCAGTTATCAAATAACTGGTTATTATAGTCAAATGTTCACTGGAAGATATTTTCTTTTACCATTTCTAATCCTGTTTGGACAAATTACTGCTTTCCATATATTACTCACTTTTATTGCATAATAAATGTAAAACCTCTTTTCTCTTTCTAAAAGGTTTCTAACAAGAAGAAAAAGGAAACATGGGGAGTCTGTATCTTTATTGTAGCCGTTGATCTGGATGAAATAACATTCACTTTCACAGAGCTTCTGAAAAGTATAGGCATGAAGTAAGTATATTTAAGTGTGTGAATTTACTTTCAACAATTAACTAGTCAACGTTTTTACAAAGAGAACTTTTTCAAAGCATTGTGAATCATAGCAGGCTAGTTGATTTTTAAAGTGAAAGTTACTTATGGGAATTCTGAATATTTTTGTAATTAGGAGGCTTGCTATCACATTTTAGTTGAGGAAACGATACTTGTTTGGTTCAGCTGAGATTGGCTGTGATTGTGTCATACAGCTGATTAATGTTCTGGCTCAACCTAAAGTCTTCATCAATTAAACTTGGTGGAAATTACATTTAAAATATTTTCCTTTCTTTCCCTGTGTTAAGATTTTTTTTTGTAAAACCTTTTTTCCAACACTAGGCTTAGGCTAAATCAAGAAGTGGAAGAAAAAATACTACTCTTCAGATAGTTTGCCAGCATGCTGCTCTTTTTCAAACATTTTAATGGCAGCCTAAATCCTGTGCTTTTGTGTGTGCTTTTTGCTAGGGTTTTTTTTTGTTTTTTTTTTTTTACTGTTACATTGTATATTCACGAAGTTCATAATACAGAAATTAAGATTATAGGACAATACCTGCTTTTAAGGTAAATTTAGGTGGCAACAGCAATAAGCATACCTTGTGTTGGATTCATCTAAGGACAGAAATCTAGTGCCATCTGCCTAACAACTGTATTGAAAGCATGTGGAGGAGCAGAGCCCATCAGTGCTGTGGGGCAGGAGGCTAAGGCAGAATGGTTGGGGGTGTTGTGGCAGTAGCCCCAGGCTTGGGCCAGAATATCTGTTTACTGGAAGTCATCTGTTACGATTAGACTTCTGCATGCCTCTTCTACCTTGCATCATCTCCCAGAGCAGCAGTCAGGTTCTATATTTCTACTTAATCTCTTCAGTCTTGGCTGACTTGGAACCATGTGGATGAAATCTAATTGCATTTGTGCAGCGACTTTCATCATGTTCCACCTGAGTACAGACCAACTTGTGCTGCAAACTGAAAGAGGCTTTTTCCCTTAGGGTTTCGAAGAGTAAGCAATTACTCTCCTGGTTTTGATTTTAGCAATACTCAATTGCTTGTTAGCCGTTGGGTTTTTATCAGCTATAAGGTCAAACTGGCAGAGATTTTTACCAGTCATCTTACTCTCTAGAGCTACACAGATATATATTTGAAAGCTTTTTCATTCCACAGTAAAAGAATTCCTAAATGAACTTCTCACTGGGTTTATATTCTGTTCTTTTTAATCTGACAAAGGTAAAAAAAAATAAATCTCTCTGAATAGTGTATTCTGATAAAAGATCAAAATATATTTGATGTAGTTGAAATAGTCGAGTATATTTGATAGCTTCCTCATTAATTTCTAGCAATCTGCTCATTTTGGCTATGAATATTACACATGATGTTTTCTTGGTGGCCATAATATCACATGGACGAGTAGGGAAAACTTTGGTCCCCGGTATAATAGTATTTAGAAAGTGTGAGGATGTCCTTGCCCCCAATACCTGTTGCAAGACTTGAAATTCCATATAATTCAACACATTCATCTTGTTTTTCATTCCTGGGTGTCTCTTCAGCATGGGTGGAGCCACGGTTCATGTTGTTAGAGTAGTAAGAACATTACTGAAGTAGAACTTTTAGGTAGAACAGAAGAGTGGAGATGTCTGTGTTGGGTATCTGTGCTTGTACTGGCAGAGCGAGGAAGAAAGTTGTGTCTAGTTACCAAATTCTGACTTCCAGAGATAATACCTGTGCTAGCCAAGAAAACTTTCTTTCTGTTTAGAGCCCATACTGTAAGATGCCTCTGCTACTTAGTTGAACAGTATTACTGCATCTGGAAAATGTCAAGGTTGGGCTCAAGGTAGACAAACAGTGTTTCCCAAGGCAAGATTCTCAGTCACTGCTAGTTGTAGTAAGAATGCAGTTTAGTGAAGTAAGGCAATGGGTTTTGGTGAGGTGGGTTGTTTTTCATTTTTTTGGGGTTTTATGTTGGTTTTTTTTGTTTGTTTGTTTTGTTTTTCTTGGTAAGAGTTACTTCAGACCACTCATTCTGAGAGTTATGATAATCTGTCGTATTTTTTTCCTTTCTTTTTTTTCAGTGTATGCTTGTTTTTCCAGTTTCTGAAAGAGGTGGATGTTAACATGGATACTGTAAGCACTAAAGTTGATAGCACTGTATCAAGGCTGAAAAAGAAGTATGATGTATTACTTGCACTATACCACAAGTTTGAAAGGTAGTACATAGGTTTCATTTTGAAATTATGAATCCTTTATGGCTGTCAACATTTAAGTACTTACATTTTTCAAACTGTGCATTAGAAGAGACCTTTTAAACTCTGTGCACTAATATTTACAGAACAGTGAAGTGGAACTGTTTACATGCATTGAATAAACACATCTTACATTTTACTCTATTACAATGGTTTGTTAAACAATCCTCTTGTTGCAGTACAAACAATGGTAAGAGTAGCATGACATTAAGCTTTCTCCAGATACAAAGAGGATTATTATACTATCTAATATTTCTTTTATTTAATGGATATTCTATTTTTACCTGCCTACCACTCCCCAAATCCTGGTCCAAGAGTTTCTTTCAAAGGAGCTGTGGAAAGAAAAAAGGCAAAAATAAGATAGTTTCTCTCTCTCTCATATCTGGAACTGAAGACTGTTCCAGTATCTGGGGGTGTTGCAGAGCCTGCTGTATTAGCAGTTCTCACTTGTAATCAAGGTAAATCTTCCCAAGTGTTTTAGCTGACCATACAATAAAAATAGAGGTACATTCTCTTTGTACAGAATAAAGTGTATGTGCATATGGCAAAGTGCTAAGAGCTTTCTGTGTGGAACTTGAAAATCAGGAGGTTCTCAAATGGGTGCTTTTTTTTGACATGATGTTACTCTGAGGTGGTAGGTTGCTGCACTCTGTTTTAACTTGAAGCCAGGGATGATAAAGGCATTAGATGCTTTTACAGGCAAATAAGTGTTAGCACAGATGCGTATTGGCAAGATCTGATAGCCTCTGAGACAGTTTTTAATTGGTCTGTGAAATTCTCCATAGCATATACCAGTAGAAAACTGTTTCATATTGCTAAACATTGAAGCATCATTCCTTGGTGCTTGTATTGTTTGATACCATTCCTTCAGAATGCTGTGGTATTTCTCACCTGCAGCAGTCAGAGTCACTGTAATGTTTTGCCTTTCAAACCACAAAAGGCTCTCAAATATCTCTAAAACGACCTTTGAAAGGGGTAGCACGTCACCCCTTGGTAGTTTATAGAATCAGGGCAGAAATACCATAGAAGTTTTTGTCTTTTCAAAGTCCAGTCAGTCACATTTACTGTTATCCAGGGTGTAATGTTTATATCAGAATGTTTTCGTAAAGCTTGTTGTCATCTTGAAGCTATGAAGTTCTATGAAAGTTGTAAATTTTGTAAATTTTTTTTTTTTTTATTACTAATTGCAAGCCTTTCTGGGCTGTGAGAGTGTCGTTGCAGATTTCCACTGGCATGTTTTTGGTTTTGCCCCTCCTCTACCTCCTCTTTACTTGCTTGCTTTTTTGAAACTTGAATTGCAGTAACAGTTTGTTGGTTTTTTTTTTTTTTTTTTTTTCCCAAACAGCATTTGAAAAAGTTTTTTCCCTTTCAAGGGAAAAACAAAAACGGGTTTTGTTTTCAAATAAGCCGAGTCTATTTCTTGAAATGACATGTATATAGAATAATTAGGAAGCAGCATTAAACCACAGGGCTTGCAGTGACACTGCAAAAATAGTGAAGGTTTTTAAATGCCCTTTTATAGTGTTCTGCACAGCTGTGTAACAATGTACATATGCATCTTGTCTTTCTGGGAGAAAAAAAAACCTAAATAAAAATTGTTTTGCTGTTTAAGCTTTGGCATACACAACAGTGTTATTTCAGCTCCGGCAGGGCTGTAGTTTTGTTGTTAATGTGTTGTCCAAGAGTCAGCATTTTTTTTTAAAGTTAGAATAATGTTTTGTGAACTTGCATGTTTTTACTGCATTGAAGTCAAAGATATTGCATAGTTTGCTTTCAGAAAAGTGATTAAGAATTTATTTTTATTTTCTAGGACTTGTGGCCTTATTTATCTGGAACAACCTAGTAGTGAGTAAGTTTGACTTTCCTCAATTGTGTTTGTTAAGATAAGATGTAAAACATGTCAGCATTTTATCCTTTAATGCATTAAGGTTGACCTATGTCATAGTATGTCAAGTGTTTAATTTAGATTTAGTGGGGACTTTGAGTTTCAGTGAGATGATGAGATCCGCAGAAGTGATGTATATTTGATTACTTCCTCCATGAAGGATCGCCACCCTATGATGGGTGTCTCGGCATGGTGGAAACGGAACATTTGGAGAGTGAGTTTCCTAATCGTAGCAACAAATGAGTGGATGAAAAGATGCCTTAGCGACTCCCAAATGAGCTTGAGTTCATGCTGTGACTGGAAATAGGGCATTAGTCAAAGGCACAAGAGAGAAAACAGCTCGTAACAGTTAAGTTAATTATCTACATTCACTTTCTTTTCCATGGATGATATGGACATTTCCTAATTCTTGAATGAATTTACGGAGACTTAATTATTTCAAATGTGTAGTCATATTTACTTAGGGAACGGCATGAGATTATTAATAAACTTAACTGTATGGGAAATGTTGCATGTTGCCTTGAATTGTTCCATAGACAGTTAATATATGTGTCTCTACAGGATTTCTGCTGAACTCAATTCTGTATTAGTCCTTAAAAATTACTGGATTACTTTTTTGCTGGCAAAAGGTGAGTTTTAAGACAGTTATTTTAATGAATATTGTTGAAGTGAGTTTATGGGTTTGTTTTACATGTCCAGCATGAGACTAGCATCCTTATTACAAATATACATAGTACAGGCCCACAATGTTTTGATTGCGTGGCTTTTGTAACAGCCAAATTGCATGCAAAGAAGTATTACTATTCTTTTCACTGGTATATAATTCCTGTATGTGAATAGATGTGTACTTAAGCTTTCTAAGATTTTTTTTTCACTTTATTATTCTTATTATTCTTATTTTATTATTATTATTCTTTATTTGAGTCTATTCCGAGATGCTTTATAGTCTGTCAGTATTTTCATTATGGATGATTACCTGAAAAAACTGGCAGATTACAAGATAGTAAGTCCCTGAAATTATGTCCTTTGAACCATTCTTCCTTGAAAAGACAGAAGTCCCAGTTAAAGCCGAGTGATGAAACAATTCTAGTAGTCCATGGAGTCCTGCCTCGTTGTACTACTCTTGCAAAAAGGAAAGAATCATGTATCTTAATCTCTGCTTACTCTAGGCCTGTGTAAATCAGCAAAGTGTACACATCTCTGCCTTGGAAACTGGTCCTGGATCAAATAGGCTTCATGGAACTTTTTCACTAGAATTCTCCAAGCATAAACATAAAGCAAAACCCACAAAACTTTTTTTAGCCTGTTTTTTTACTGAGAACAAGGAAAGCTAAAATTTACTAGCAAATAGTTGAAGTCAAAGGGGGGGATCCCGGGTGATGCTTGGTAATTCTGATAGAAAATAGTTAGGAAAATTGCACAAGGAAGTAAAGCACAAGCAGTGGTCTGTAGCTGTACTGAATCACTGTCAGCGTTCCAGATTTGTGGTGAACGCCATCTTGGAATGGCCCTGCACGTCTTCTCTGGCATCTGAATCCTAATTTGGGAACTCTTGGAATTACATAGTTCTAAAAGTTCTTTTTATGCTAATATGTGTGACTTTTAAGTCATGTCATAAATTTGACAGGCTCAGCATAGAGTGTGATGGCATGTTTTGACTTTTTCTTCACTATATGCTATCAGCTCCTTAGCAGCTTTCACAAGGCTTGTGTAAGGACACGAAAAAGGAAGAATTGCTCAGAAATAAGAGGTACATGTAGGTAAAATAGTCTACACAGTTACTCCACAGTAGTAAAACAAAAAAACAGGAGCGAGCACTGTGCATAGTGAATATATGTATGCCATCTTTAAAGCAACAAACCTCTTAAGAAGCACAGATTTGAAAATTAAAAGCCTTTAAAGAGCACTGTCATCCTGTGTCGTGCTTTCTGAATTCTAAATATATGAACTTCTGAATATTTATTTTTTTCAAAATTACTTTTAAAATGAAATCAAACATCTCACAGAGGTTTTCTTTACCTTTTTAAACGTTTGCAGGTAAAGTGTTACAAGTGGAAGATGACCTGGTGATTTCTTTCCAGTTGTTGCTGTGTGTCTTAGATTATTTTATCAAACTGTCACCTCCTGCTATGCTCAAGGAACCATACAGTAAGGTTTTCTGATTTTGTTCACTTAAGTAGAAAATAAGTTAGTTAAACTTCTATTAGAGTCATGCTAACATTCATAATTAACATAATAAAACTTCTTAAGCTTATTAAAATGGAATTTTTATGTTTTAGTTCAATTTAGATGATGGTGAACTTGAATTAAATTATCTGAATACCACAGTGTTTTTAATATATTTTTTTTTTCTTTCATTTTTTTCCCCCCTATTCCTACCATCCATTTGCTATATTCTCTGTCTGTAGAAGTTGTTCAGGGGCTTGTTAGAACAACAGTTTTACTTTCGTAAAAGAATTCAGGTTCTAGGTAGATGATGACTGAGAACTATTGTTTAGGTTTGTTTTGAGTTACAAAAGGCAAAGATGGTGCTATGACTCTTATTTCATTGGCATATAGCCACATGATGACAACAGAAATGTACAAGATGCTGGGTGATACAGATGTTTAAAAGAGTTATATGATGGATAGAAAACCTAATTGCAGTGGTAGCTCAAAATAAAACAGTGGTAAAATGTAGATAGCTTTGTTTTTATTACATCCCTTCTGTTAGTAAGTAGTGTCTCTATTTTAAGAAAAATATAATGACTCTTCACTCCAGAAACTTCTATTCAGCAATAACTTTTTGTACGGTCAGTTTTTATACCTAAAACCTGGAAAACCTCGCTAAAAAGGGAAGCTAAAGCATTTATAGCAACTTTCAAAGATAGAATTCTATTTTTGTTCAGTATATTCTTCTGCAAGCTACGGAATTGATACATTGAAAGTATTTGGAGTCACAGTGTGTAGAAAGCAATTTTTTTTTAATACTAATTAGTTTATCCTCTGCTGGGTTTGGATGCAGCAGTAATACTTATAAACACTGTATTTGTATAACACTAAATCTGCTTGCTTTATTCCTTTATTTCACAGCTATATATCCACTTGGGTTATAATTTAATGAAACAGATGATGCATTCACTGCTATATTCTTTAACTTCCCTTTTTTGGGGGGCTATTTATCTAACCTAGTAATTATTTGTTGCAGGTAAAGACAAGTAACCTCACTTCTATTCTAGTGCCAATAAAAATAAAGGGTGGGATAGAATGGGCATGTGGCAAGCAAGTCCCTACTTAACCTCCAGTACTATTTTGAGTTTAAATTTGTTCTCCCTAGTAGGACAGACATATGCTACTGCATATTTCTTTTTCAAAGAACACTGAATGGAAACTAACTGGTTTTGAATTCTGTGTTCACACTGAATTATAGTTTTTTAGTGAAATTATGAAGACTAGGAGCTCATTAATAGAAGCAGTTTGGTTCTGTGCATTGTATCTTGAGAAGAAACTTGCCACTACAGACTAAACTGCAAATACAGGTATCGCTGTCATAAGCGTAAAGCATTAGATTCTAAGTTGAAGCTGTGTGATATGTGCAGGTGCTGTGTAAACTCTCAAACAGTGCTTCATTCTTTCAGGAAATAACAAAATGTATTGTTCAAATTCTCGTGACTGAGAGGCTTCGTGTTGTGCTAAATGATGTCAAGCTTTACAATCTGACTAAGGCTGAGGGGATTAAGATGCAACTACCCGAGCAGTGTAGTTTGTCAGATTTTCTCAAAACAGTTATCAAATTACAGATAGACATTACAGATGAGAACAGCATGCTGATTATAGTATTAAATCAACAGTATTTAATGACATTAACCTATGTTATTAGTGTAATTCATGTACTTCACGCTGACAGTATTGAAACCATCTACTTTGAGCTTAACAGAGTGAAGTATTTTTACCTCACTGAATTAATGTATTTGGGGAAAGGAAGACTTCCCTGCAGAACCATATTGCAGGTTCTCACCAGCACTTAAGTCCTTATAGAGTCACAGGATCAACTAGGTTGGCAAAGACCTTTTAAGATCATCAAGTCCAACCATTACCTCAGTTCTGCTAAGTCCACCACTAAACCATGTCACTAAGGGCCTCATCTAACACGGTTTTTGAACACTTCTACCACCACCACCACTGATTCCACCACTTCTGTGGGAAGCTTCATGGACTTTATTAACCTTCAGACACATAGCATATTTACTCTTTCAGTTTCTTGTTTTACACATCTGTAAAAATAGACAAAACAGTTACTCCTCTGCGAAAAGGTAAGACTTTCCTAGCTTTGCAGAACAGATGCTTATTCAAAGCGGCTTACAGAAAGTACTATTACATTGTGTTGGATAGCTTTTTAAAAATATAATGTCCAAATACTGATACATTTAAAAAATAGTTTAATTTCTGTGTAGGTTTACTGCAGTGAAAATTTCTTACCCAGCAGAACAGATGAAAAGGGAAACACTTAATAAGAGGACTTGAAAAATCATAAAAATTTAGATAGGTTTAAAATTTTTAATCTCTTCTTCCTCAAATGCCTCTAACCTTGTGATGGTTCTGAATATCTTTCCAGAGTCTGCTGTGACTGCAGTGGCTGTTAATGGTTCAGCTCGAACTCCAAGAAGAGGTCAGAACAGGAGTACACGTACTTCAAAGCAAATTGATACCGATACAAAAGTTATTGAAATCCTTTGTAAAGAGCATGATTGTAATTTAGATGAGGTAATGCCTGTGTTTTAAAGTCTGTCAGACCTTGCTGCTAAGCCCCATCTGGGATATTAATTTATTTAAATTTTTTTAGAATCTCAGTACTTGTGCTTGCTTAACTATTCTCTCAAGTTCAGTAGTGAAGCTATTCTACCATGCTGTAGCTTCTCCAGTAGGTAGGTAAAAAAACCCAACAACCAACTAAATTTAAAAACCCAACACAGAAAAACCCAAGCCCTTTGGTATGGGTGATAATTTTGCGAGGGAAACTGAATTGTGAAGAATGGAGTATGAAGTTAGAGGCTGATCAAAGTGTGTAGCATGTGAACACAGGGTTGCTCTGGGGTTTCATAGCTGCATGATGTGAGAAAATGTACACAGCAAGTACATTGCTTCTGTGGGGGACCTTAAAGACCGCATTCCCCTTTCCCTTCTGTGATATATCCATTCCTGTGTAAAAAGGACTAACTCCTGAATATCCAAGCAGATGGTGAAAGTGGAAATGTAAGAGGGCTGGGACGAGTGCAGTTCTTTCCCAGTTTAGTAGTTTGATTCAGTGCATAATCCATTGCTAGAACATGTTTACGTATCATTTGTGATACGTAAGCTTATATATCACATGGATATATAAGCAATTTCATTTTTCCTTTATAGAAAACAAAACTGTATTATAGAAGTGTCTCAGTTTCTTGATTTAAAGACACAAAAGCAGCATGTGCGTGGCTGCCTCTGTCTATTGCTAATGTTATGGTTTTTCTTTTTTTTAGGTCAAAAATGTGTATTCCACAAGCTTTATTCCCTTCTTGAATTCTGTTGGTATTCTAGCTTCAAGTGGGCTACCAGAGGTAATTGGAGGAATTTAAGACAGTTCAATAACATGCTTTACTTCATGCTGAATTACTTAAGATTGCCTTTACACATTGATGAAGTTCTAATAGGTTCTTCTAAAATCATCCAGCGGAATGCATTGTTTTTCAGGAATGTGGCTTAGCAGGGATTACAGTATTCATGGAGTATATTTAGCTTTTGCATTTGAATTTTATAAATTAATTTCCTGAGGCTGTACCAGTGCTTTTGCTCAAAGCAAAACATGACATTGGAGTTGCATATCCATGATCTTGGTGAGGCCATTAGTCAATAATACAGCTATTAAAATATCAGGTCTCTGAAGTCAGTCTATAAATGCATACAGTCTTAAATTACACCCTTTAATTTAAATATAATTGAGACTCGTTACTGTAGTCATGGTGGAGAGAGAGCCAAAAGATGAGGCTCATTTCACAACTGGCAGAGTTTGGACTCTTGTGTTCATGTAGAATGACTTTCATCTTGCTGAGTTGTAGCCTGGATGCAGCAGACTACAACTGCATGCAGTTGCATGCAAGAGTGTGCCTTAGAAGGTAACTTCTTGCAATGTATTTATATCCATCGTTCTCAAAAGAGTGGGTTTGTCTGCGTGTCACCTATAGATGTGGTAACCTGAAATTTTGAAGCTGTGTAGGAGTTATTTGCAGCTTGCTTTTTCTTGGGACTGGGAGGGGACTAATTTGGGTTTGTATGCATTTGTTGCCTGTTTTTCTAGCAGGAATTTGCCAGAGCACAGTGTCATTTAGCATGTTTTGAGGGCTTAAGGAACAGATAATTGAGGTGACTGCCTTCATCTGCAAAAACACAGCAGCAGATTTGCAGTGGAAACTAGCATCTGGCCCTAATAAAAAAATTCCTTCTAATTAACATTAGACAACCAAAAGAAAAACCAAACCAAAAACTAACAAATAGTTCCATGAAATGAAGTCATATCAATATGGGATCTAATCAACTAAGAAACTTTTAACAGTAGCTTAAAAAACAACAATGTGGATATAAAGTAATGGTCTATGTTTTCTGTAGAAATAGGCATGTCTCAAGAACTACAGCAGTGCAAATATTAATATGAAATGGGGAAACTCTTCTTATACTCAGAATAGGAAGCTTTGAGTTTGGGCCTTGGCCTTCATTTCCAAACCAGCAGAGGCAGGGACTGAGCCAGTTGTTTTAAGGACAGTCATTTTACATTTCCTGCTCCTATATACACCTCCTTTTTTTTTTCCTGGAGGGGAAGATTTAAAAGCCTGGAAATGTTATTTTGATTTGTGGGCTATGTCTCCCACTCTATTTTTAGCTCCTTTACAGTGCCAAGACCTACATTTCTTCAGAAAAGTGTCATGATCTTGGATTTTTTTTATCTTATAAAAAAATTTTCCTTTTTTGCATGTGGGAATGATAGTTTTCCTCTGGGTGTATTTTAGGTGTGTAAGAAGTGACTTTGTGAGCTCCAAGGTCATTCTCTTAGCATTTCAGCATTGTATTCATGAGGTGGGACTAGCTTATATTATTAAGTAAATTCAGTCAAACTTGTTCCTGTAAAGTTAAGTTGTTGGTTTTTTTGTTTTTTGTTTTTTTTTCTTTCTCTCTGCAATATTTTTTTGAGGTTGAAGTTATCTCGAAACAATATGAGGAGCTCTATCTCAAAAACAAAGATATAGATGCAAGATTATTTCTGGATCATGATGAAACTCTACAGCCAGATGTCATGGCACGGTAATATTTCTATTTATTGCTCTCGTTTTATAATAGAAAATGTGAACTTGCATTGTTTTCTGTCTTGTTGTGTTATAAATGTAAATCTCTGTATCGTGTTGACCTCTTTAAGTTTGTTGTTCAGCTAAGGTATTTCTGGCATTATCAGACTTGCTCTACATTATCGCTTAAATAATTAGAAAACGTATGTGTGGGACTCTACATAAAATTATTTGGAAGCTCTGCTCTAATTCTCACTCACTCTGTGCAAGCCCCTGTCATGCAGGGGAAGCTGAGGACTCATAAGGAGGGAGGCTGAGGCCATGTCATGCTGGTTGATTAGATATGCCTGAGGCAGTGTTATAGCTCTGGGGCCAGCTGGCACGGAATGGCTTGGGGCTTAACTGTCCAGGCTCTCCTTCCTAAAACCAGATGGTGGTATTTGGAAGCTGCCTGCTGGGAGTGGTCTTCAGCCCATTTTGACTTCCAGCCTGTACCCAGAAATTGTTTGGGTTATGATAGTTTGCATGGGACAAAAGTGTGGTGTGGGTGGTTTAGCAGACTAAAAACAGTGAAGTACCAGTACGCAGGCACATTCCCTAGTGCTGTTCAGTAATACAGATATCATGGATCTGCTGGAGTTGGGTCCCAAAGATGCTCAGAGGGCTGAGGCACCTATCTGTGAAGAAGGGCTGAGAGAGTTGGGGTTGTTCAGCCTGGAGAAGAGAGTGCTCTTGGGAGACCTTATAATAGCCTTTTAGTACTTAAAGGGGGCTTAAAAGAAGAGAACAGGCTTTTTAATAGGGCCTGTAGTGATAGGATAAGGGGGGGATGGCTTTAACTAAGAGAGGGTGGATTCAGACTAGATATAAGGAAGAAATTTTTTTATATTGGGATGGTGAGACACTGGAACAGGTTACCTAGAGAAGTTGTGGATTCAAGGTCAGATTGGATGAGGCTTTGAGCAACCTGATCTAGCTGAAGATGTCCCTGCTCATTGCAGGGGGAGTCAGACTAGATGACCTTTAAAGGTTCCTTCCCAAACTATTCTATGATTCAGTTTCATTTTTTCAGTTGTGCACTTAAATTCCAATGTTTCCTAACAATTCAATCTTTCCATAACTTGATCTGAGGTCGCAGTGTGAGTTTGCGACTTTATCTGCGATAGAAAAATACATTCATTAAACTGGAGGTAATACCAACTATACTTACAAATTAAGCTGTTTATAAACAGAATTCTAAAAAAGAAAAAAGAAATTGAAAGGAAACTTTGGAGGTCTTGTAGTCCAACATCCTGCTCAAAGCAGATCTACTTGGGAATTGTTCTAAGAATTGGAGTGGTTGGGTATCTGGATCTTCTAAAAATCTGTTTCACAGTTTTCAGATTAATAAGTCTTTATAGAAAACATTGTTTGGATTTCATTATTTCTTCATAAGTTTGTTTTCCAATTCTGTAGCTCACAGGTGGACAGGATGCCACTAAAACCCAATTCAGATGAGGAACATCCTCTCATACTTCCACAGACTCCTGTTCGGTATGAGTTTTTCTTTTAAGCCGTGTTCTTTTGCTTAATGTCCTAACTAGAAATATTCATCTTTAGAGTAGTTGTTCTAATTTTAAAGCAACTGGGGCTTTGGGTTATGGTGTCTTTTTTCTTTTATATAAACCAGAGTGAAGTTCTGGTCAGTAATAAGCAACGAGCAGGTGCTGAGTGCCCTCAGTTCCTGGTGCAGTTGTTGGAAAACAGAAAGCTTTTTACTGAGTTGTCTAAGAAGTACAAGTTGTCTGTAGAATAGATTGTTGTATTTGTTCTTGTGAGACTGCAACTTTATACTTCAATGTTAGTACTTATGTATGCTGTATTTCCATCTTCCTTTCCCATCTTTACTTTAGCTCTGTATCTTCCGGCTTCCTTTCCCGATACCAGATTGCATATGCACACGCATTTCTTCTCCTGTGATCTTTTTCTTCTTAGTATTGATTTTTCTGTAAGGGAAGATTAACTGCTTTTCCCTTGTGCCACGCAGGTTTTTGACAAAATCAGTATGCTTTTTGCTTAATGGTGCTTAGAAATTCCTGGACATACAAGAACCAACCAGCTGTGTCACTGCAGTGCCATATGCTATGTGGAGAAACAGAAAAGTTCCCTCAGGGAGTCGTTCTTAAGTCATAGACATTAGGGTCATGACATTAAATCATAGACATGCAGCTGAGATAAATATTGATCAAGTTGTGAAATTAAGAGCTTTTAATCACCTGTGTCTACAAAAGGCTTTATTTGATTGCCTTAGTGGTCTCTTCTAGTCTTATGCTTCAAATCTTTAGGTGCCAGTGATGCTTTTTTAGACATAAAGACATCAGTTTGCCTTTCAGTTCCCAGACTGAATGTGCAATTCTGGGAATCAGACCATCTGTAACATGCAGTATATTTAACAACGAGGTCCTTAACAACTGCCATTTTTGGCAGATATAGGTAACTGTTGATACTTTTCAGTTATACTAGAAGTAAAACCTTCTAACATTGTGAAAGGTGCTTCATTGAAGTTTTTTACATGGAAGCCATGTTAAGAAGGTCCAGGAGAACCAAGTTTCTGCACTGCTAAAACTTTGAAATGTGCTGAACCAGCTTTGATCTTCGGAGGAGGTCGAGTGAGATATTTACATTCTCTCCATCCACACTTGGGCTTTTCTCTGAGCTTTCCAAAGCTGATGATATTTAAGACAGTTCAAGCACAGGCTTTATTCACCAGCAGTGATTTGGGCTGTATTGTTTCTCATAAAGCCACAGAATTGTCACTAGATGGCAGTAAACCTTTGATCACCAGCATAGAGTGGAACGTGTATCATTAACTCCCTGTATTAATTTAGACCACGTTACAGGATATGTTGAAAGCACCATACTTATTATTTTGAATCTTCTTATAATGTCTTCTTTCTGGATGTAGTCGCTTTGGATCTGATCTAAACCCCCCTGAAACTGGTGAGAATCTAATAATTTTCATCAGTGGATTTGTATCTGGCCATTTATATAGAAAGCAGTAGATAAAAATGGGTGTAAGAACTATTTCAGAGCATAATGAGAATGGGTTGTCTGGTTTTATTTTATTCTTACACTGTCCTTATGCTTTACCTTATCACTTGCGGTGTTTTGGCAGAAGTCCGCATCCTTTTCCCCTCCCCTAATATTTTAAAACTTAAGAAGATTTTATATTTGAGATCCTTCTAACCTAGCTACAGATAGAGCAGATAGAATAAAGATTACAGAAATTGTAGACTTTCTATTGGAAATGAAAGGAATTGAAGGTAAAGTAAGAATCTAAGTTTTAGTGGGATTTGAGTTCAGATCCAGGGAGGGAGAAGACTCTGTGTTCTCATGCTATTGCCAATAGGAATGTTGACAACTCTGCCTCTGAAAAATGTATTTCAAAGCATCTGTATTAAAAAAGGCTGCATTTTCATAGAGTCATAGAGTTGTTTGAGTTGGAAGGGACCTTTAAAGATCACCTGGTCCAACCCCACTGCAGTGAGTCCTTCTTGGCAGGTCTGCTCTCAATCCCTTCATCCTTCAGCCTGTATTGATACCAGCGGATGCACTGTCCCAGGTGCTGACCTTGCACTTGGCCTTGTTGAACCTCATGACGTTCACATGGGCCCACTTCTTGAGGTTGTTTGGGTCCTTCTTGATAGCATCGTCGTGGTGTGTCAACTGCTCCACTCCACTTGGTGTTGTCTGCAAACCTGCTGAGGGTGCGCTCAAATTGTTTGTTATTGAAGATCTTAAGCAGTACTGGTCCCAGTACAGACCTCTGAGGGACACTGCTCATCACTGATCACCATCTGGACGTTGAGCCATTGACCACTACCATCTGGATGTGACCATCCAACCAATTCCTAATCCACCAAACAGTTTACCCATCAAATCCCTATCTTATCAATTTAGAGAGAAAGATGTGTGGGACCTTGGCAAAGGCCTTACGGATGTCCAGACAGACAACATCCATAGGACTTCCCTTGTCCACTGATGTAGTCAGCTCCATTATAGAAGGCCACTAGGTTGGTCAGGCAGGCCTTGCCCTTGCTGAAGCCATGTTGTCTGTCTCAAATCACCTCCCTGTCCTCAATGTGCCTTAGTATAGCTCATAGGAGGATCTGTTCCATAACCTTTCCAGGCACAGAGGTTGGTGCTGACAGGTTGGTATTTTCTTGTGACTGCCATATTTTAACACTCCTTACTTATTACACTTGGGAACAGGTGACCTGAAACATAAAAGCTGTTTTCATTCACCAGACTTTGTATTATTTTTCTGCAAAAGACAAAAAGTGTGGGGTTTTTTTCCACATGAAAGAATTATAATTCCATTTTTATTGCTTTTAAAAGTGCTTGTTAGTGTTTATTACTAAATTTATGCCCTTTTGGTTATACAGATTATAATTCTAATAATTAAATGATTAGGTAAAATTAGATTATTAGAATTCAGTGGTTAACACAGTACAACGTAATTTCCCAGCAGGTTGTTTGATAACTGGGGTGAGAACTAAAATCAGAGGTTTTGGGGTTGGTTGTTCGTTTGTAGAATTGCTGTTCAGTTTCTGGAAACTGTCAAGCCAAACTTAGTGTGTATTATGCCTTTTATTGTATTTTTCCAGAGCTGCAATGAACAACATTCAGCAACTTACTATGATTTTAAACTCAGCAGCTGATAAACCATCAGATATTCTCATCAAGTATTTCAATGTAAGTGACTAGAAGAAAGATTTGTGAAAGATTCTTGGGATTATTGCTCAAGTAAAATACTCACCTGTAGATTGTATGTTTTGGGAGACTTCCTTTTTAACAGCCATTTTCTGAAGTAGTATATTTTGAGATGGTTTAAATGTAATTACTCATTTCGGAAAGCACTTCTATCTAATCGATGTGTACTGGAACCTTTTAAATTCTTAAATCTTTTTGCTATTGCACAAAATACTAAGGTTATGTATGTTTATTTATGTATGTATAATGGAAAAAGAAAGTGATATAAAAGGGAGCTGAAGAAAAGGAGTATCTGCTTAGAGGGTCTTATGTCCACATTCAGCAACTTAAGCTTTTAACTCTAAATACATCAATGTTGATGGTACTAGTTGCATATTAATTGAGTTAGTTGCAGCTAGTTGCATATGAGACATGGAGTAGTTGTTACTGGAAATTGATGAACATATACAATGATTCTGTCTTCTTAAATACTCCACTTTTATTTATGCGGATGAGCTGATTGAGAGATATTACAAAGTGTAGCAGGACTAATGTGATTAAATCATATAAGATGTTTTTGCAGTAAAATGTCCTTTCTTTGCATTTCCTTCCTCTGCCCTCCTTGTATTCTATTAGAATTGCACAGTGAACCCTAAGGACAGTATCTTGAAACGAGTGGAAAATCTTGACCGCATCTTCAAACAGAAATTTGCTGAAGCAGTTGGACCCGGATGTGCTGAAATTGGCTCGCAGGTAACTAGCATTTTGGTTGAGTATTACTCATTTGAACTCTGTTGGTACTAGCTAATGTGAGAGCTGACTTACCGACTGTCCTCCTTTGGTGCATATCAATAATGGTAAAAAGTAACAATATTCTTTTCAACCTGAGAAACGAACAGGTATTTTTTCCTAAACAGCTGCAAAGATAGTATTCAACAACTTATTTGTAAGATATAAGGAGCAACAAGAAGTGGGTGGAAATATGTTGGAAATATTTTAATGAAGAATGAGAAAATTGCGGGGTAAAATGCATTTAGCGAAACGTCTGTTTATATTCTTTCATGGCTTTGTTTAGCTTTGAGAAAAGAAGGCTCAGGAGACCTTATCACCCTGTCTCAGTATTTAAAGTGTGCCTACAAAGAAGACGGAGGCTCTCTTTTTACAAGGAGTCACATGGAAAAGATGAGAGGAAATGGTTACAAGTTACTCCTGGGGAGATTCTGGTTGGACATCAGGAGAAAATTTTTCACAGTGAGAATGATCAGCCATTGGAATAATCTCCCCGGGGAAGTGGTGGATTCCCCTGTGTTGGTCACTTTAAAGATTCAGTGAGACACGGTGCTGGGCCATCTGGTTGAGATCATGCTTTACCAAGAAAGGTTGAGGTCCCTTACAACCTGGTATTCTATGATTAAGGTAGCTTAGCCTGAAACTGCAAAAGGTGACTCACTTCCTTATAAATCAGTAGGCTAGCTGTGCTTTCAACAAGGATTTTGGAAAACAAATCCAACCAAGTTTATACTTGACAGTCTCCTGTGTTCAGCTCTACTTTCTATTCTGTTATCTGTGAATCAGCATAAACACTTGATTAAGTCTTCATATGATTAAGTAATCACAAACCTTAGTAGCCTTTGAGGCCTCTCCAGTGCTGTTGGCAAATGGAACTGGGGACAGACAATGACATTATAGCGGCTCTTCAAAAAAATGGACATGTTTGTTAGAACATGAGGGTCTGCCTGTTGTAATCTGTTAAAGCTTGAATTATTCCTGAATTTCTTCTTTTTTAACAGAGATACAAGCTTGGAGTGCGCCTGTATTACAGAGTAATGGAGTCAATGCTAAAGTCGGTAAGTTAAGTACCAGTAGCTAAGTACTGGCATTGCATCTACAAATACTAAGAATACTCACAAGTTTGATTTTTATTTACGTATTTCAGGAGGAAGAGCGCCTGTCAGTGCAGAATTTCAGGTATGTGCCCCTAACTTGTTACCAAAGCCTGCTAGTTTAGTGTTAGGACAAGTATTAATAATTTTCTTTCTCCTTAGCAAACTTCTGAATGATAACATCTTCCACACATCTCTTCTGGCATGTGCTGTTGAGGTTGTCATGGCTACATATGGCAGTAAGTTGAAGTTTAAATCCTAGATAGCATTATTACTTATTGGTAATTATTGCCATTTGTTCTAATACATAAAATACAGCAAATAACAAAAAAGTGCTTACTGGAATATCTGAACTAGCAATTAGTCATCAAATACAAAAGGGAAGAAGCATCAGAAGTGAAAGAATGTTGTGCTCTTGATAATTTTAGTCCATTTTCCCTGCAGCAAATGCTTCAGAAAGTGGTGGTACCAGTGCTGAAACAGACTTGTCTTTCCCATGGATTCTGAATGTATTTGATCTAAAAGCTTTTGACTTCTACAAGGTGATTGAAAGCTTTATTAAAGCGGAGCCAAGCCTAACAAGGGAAATGATAAAGCATCTAGAACGTTGTGAACATCGAATTATGGAGTCTCTTGCTTGGCAGTCTGTAAGTAATACTTTAAAGTAGTATTTGTCCTTGTATAATGTGCATATCTAGGAAAAGGAAATCCCACACAACTCTATAAAATAATCTGTGGTCTTACTGAGATTTATTTGTGGCAAAATAAATTACAAGAGCAAAACAAGATTAGTTTTGGCATGTCTTCAGGTTTTAAAAAAAAGAGTATGTCAGAGAAAAAGAAGTCAACATAGCTCTACTGATTTATGTGATTGTAAGCTAACACCATTTTACTAGTCTGACATATGAATCATGAGGGTAATACCCTTAAACAGTATTTTGGTACCAAAGGCAATAAATTCTAAGCTTTTATTAAGTTAAGTTTTATCCATATCCCAGTTGACAGTAGGGCTTTAGTTCTGTGCATCTGAAATGTTTGTTAATAGTGCTTGAAATACCGATTTGCATTGTCCTTTGCGCGTCAGTCACTTTGATATTTTTTGGATGCTGTTAAAATGCTGGGAGGTTGAGTAGCTTTTTTAAGCTGGATCTCAGAAAATCAAACACTGTTTCTTTATATTGTGTGTTATCTATAAACCAAAAATATGCTATTTATTCCACAGAACAGGAGACTACAAACTCTTGTCATTTTGACCAGAGACACATAAAGTGACTGTTTAAAAACCCATTGCATATCCTACGGTTCTGGAAAGTTTAAAAACAGTGTGCCATAACCAGCGGGGTAGTTTAGTTGTGGAGCAAGTTTCTTTTTTCAGGTTAGTCTGTGTGTGACTTCAGAGTGAAAAGTTAACAGTTTTCTAGTGTGGGTGGTACTTCACCAGGCTGTGGTGTTAAAGCCCTGAATTCAAGGAGCATTATTGTGCCTCAGCATCAAGTGCCCCATCCATCTCCAGGTTTCTAGCTCAGGAGAAGCATGCTAGCCTCAGTTATATGGAAGCAATTGCCATGCTTCAAGCTGAATCTGGTGGACCACCTTGTACCAATGAGCCCTTGCCACTAGATTTTTCTTGCTGGCAGAGTCAATGGACACATGTGCCTCTCTGAATGTGCCCTGTTATGAAGGTGATCTTTCCATTGTGGGAGCCAAGACTGGTGTGTGCAACTCCATGCTCATCCCCATGACACTGTATGTTTCTGAATGCAGGATTTCTGGTGCAGTGCTATAGCTGCTGTACCAGAGTGTAGATTTTTCCCCTCTGTAAAAGTTTTACATGTTTGGTGTCATGGGAAATGGACATGGCCCCTCTATTGCTGTATGAATTTCTTTGTGATTTTGGCATTCTTTGAATAAGAAAGCACTTGAGGCTGAGAGACTTCTTACCAAACCTACAGAAACAGGGAAAATGAGGCAGTATTTCAAGAGGCAGGCATTATTTTAAGAAGCTTGAAGACACATAAAAAATGCTTGTTTGAGAATTGTAACACTTGGAGGACAAAAGGCAGAGGTACACATACTCAAGTTTGACTGTACAAGCAAGAAGTGGCTCCTGCTACATTCTGCATACCAGTTTGCAGTCAGCTTACTGATCAGCAGTAAGTCACATATACCAGTTTCTATCCAGTGATTCAAGCACCACATGCAGATAATTTGATTTGGACTTGGGCTTTCAGACTGGCAAATCCCAAGCATTGTGTTTTCAAACACTACAGGTGTAGCTGCAAACTTGTGTGAAACAAATTATAATGTCAACAAGCACAGGATTATTTCTGGTTTTCTAAGTGGTCCATCTGAATGTATTTTAATGGATTGAATCGATCTTCTTGAGTTTTCAGAGGTGCATGTTTGGTACTGTTTGGGGTGGCTTATATAGCCAATTTGAGTGTTAATAGAATATTTGAGTTGGAAAAGACCTACAGTGATCATCTAGTGGATATGTTGAGTGGAGCACAGCAGAGGGAATAAAAAGAAATGTGCAATACATGTATCCAAAGGCCCTTCTGCTTCATTGAACTGGATGCCATGTCTCATTTGGATTTCCACAAGCACAAGGCAGTGTGCAGTCTCCTGTTGCCATAGGTTTGTCACTAGAGGGCACAGCAGGATTCCCTCAAAAGCTGAAGGAAGCTGTGGCAGCCAGCTGCAGGCAGCTGGAGCCTGTGTACAGGCACCCTGTGATTCTGCATGGAGGCCTCCATTGCCTCTTCTGGCTTCTTGTAAGGGAAAGGCTGTGAGTTGTAAGCAGCATACTGCACAGTGCTGGCTCAGGAGACAAGAAGTAGTGAAATATTATCTGTGCTAAAAACGTCTTGCTGAGTCTCTGGGTCCCTGCAGTGAAGGACCTGAGGCCCATACATTGTAAGGCTGCACACAGAAACCTAAAGCCATGAGTGCAGAAAATGCACCTGTATCTCATATGTAAATATTAGCTGGTTTAGTCTGACAAGTGTAATTTATTTGCAACAGGAGAAAATACTTCTGTGGCTGACTTGCAAGGCTGTTGTTCAGGTGTCCCAGAAAGGTTCAGCTAGTGAGTTTACCATGTTCTTCTTCAGTTCATTACCTGGATATTGTATCCATGTAACGGTGTATGAGGTTTGCAAAGTGTCTGCTTAATTAGTAATTCCCTTAAGAAGGAGGAGGCAGTTAGGATAGTGTAGTTCATACCAGTAAATATCTTTTACCTCCAAACACCTGATAAAGGAGGAGAGAAAAGCCAGATGATTCCTGCTTGGTCATAAAGGATATCTCACCATAAGTGATTGCTTTGGGTTAATTTTAAACAAATTACCTGATAAATAAGGATAGAAACATTTGAAAAATATTATAAATACTTGCATGATGCAAGTCTGATTCTCCCAATTATTTTCCACATGTTTTTGTTTAGTTCTTGCTTCTAAATCGCAATGAAATGTACATTGCATTACAAGGCTTATCTGCTTTTGGAAAGTCAGGTCTGTATTTATCCAGTCTTTATTCATTCTGCTGACTGCTTTAGGAAGCAGGACTTCAATATGGAATTTAAAGGGTCTGAGCAATTGAATACAGAATAGCTTGAGTTTATTGAAGTTTTACTTGTCACAGAGCTTTTTTTGGGGAAAACCAACTTGCATAACTTCCCTGAAGAAAAAAATCTGAAGTGCATCTGACCTTTATCTGACTTTGGAAACTGTATCAAATGAATGTGAAGGATTCTGTTTCTTACTGGGATTTGAAGATAATATATCACTCCTTTACTAGTCGTTGCGATTATGTTTATTACTTTTGCATAGCTAGCTGATTTAGTTATCTGTGCTTTAGGAAAGAGTTGAAACTTTTCTAGGTCATCCTTTCTTTTAACAAAAAAAGCATAGACAAAAGCTGGAAAAAAGTTGAAGGTTATTCTCAATTCATATTTTGAAGAGGGACAAGATGATTAAATCAAATTGGTTTTACTTCAATCTTTATTGAACTCTAAAGGGAAAAGCTCTATTTATCCACTTGAATATTATTTACCAGTAAGGTCATGATGCAGATTATGTGGAGATCAGTTTAGAATATGTTAATAATGCTGCATAATTTTTATTAGCAAAACAGAAATATACCATACAATATTCTTTACTGTAGAACTTTTGTGCTTCATCTCACTACAGTATTTTGGGGCACTATTTTAATTTCATAACTTCAAAGGGGACCAAAATTAGTTTATACTTAAAAATAAAGGTGCCTGTAATCTTTCATTTTATTATATAAACATGATTTAAACCCTGGCATAGTTAAAATTTGTTTCCTATGAAAGGGATAGCTTGTTGCCTGCCAGCCTAGGAGTTCATGCTCAGACTTTTCCATAATTGTGTCAAACTGAGCTCTCTTCAGGCCAGCCAAAAAAGTAATTGTTGTGAATATCTCAATGAAGGTTGTGCAAACAAATTCCAGAGTCTCTGAATTTCCCTTAGAGAAAGCCCTGTCAACTGCCATGTCACATATTTGACTAGTGTTGCTGCTTGCTGCAGTTCATTAGGAAGAAACAAGGAAGAGCAGGTCTTCAGTGCAAGCAAATCAAAGTCTGTAAATGCTCACAGGCCATTTTAAAAGTGAAATATCTATAACATATAAAATTAATTTGTTTCTGGGAACAGCATGACTTAGGTTTGGGTTGGGTTTTTTGTGGGTTTTTTTGTGGGTTTTTTTGGGTTTTTTTGTTTTTTGTTTTTTGGCTATGTCATTCAGGTAAGTAAACAGCTGTGGAGTATCTGTCTTTGTTATCTGTATCTGCAAAGCAATCCAGTCATTTTTCCCTGCCTCTCAGCTTACATTCTGCTTACAAGATGTGAACAGGGAGGAACAGGCAAGGTATTAGATTTTCTTTTTTTTCTTCATGCTGCTGCTTAGAGAATGTGGTCCCTGCACATGCCTTTGCACACAGTAGGTGAAGAGTGTGGAGCATACACATGTTCTAAATCATCACATTTGGCATACTTGAAATAGTTTGGGCCACACTACAAAATACTTTCTTCAAGCTAGCCTTTGGTGTTTAGTGGTGAAATGTGTGAAGCACTTTTGCTCTGTCAAGGTTAAGCTGCCCAGTACTAGGGCAGTGGAAGAGTCTTGTTCTTCTTCACTGGAGTTGCAGACCAACCACAACCTTGTCCAACGGTAAGGTAATTCATGTCAGCCAGGTAAGGCAGGCTAGAGAAAGAAGCATGGCCATAGTTTCCTGGTTAGCTCTACAGAGGGTATAATGTTCTGTTGTTAGCTTGTTAGCTCATCCCTAGGAGTTCGTGTGGTATTCCTGGTAGGAGTGCGGTTTTAAAAGGTTATGTGGTAGCTTTTGATGTTAACAGGGATGAGAGGCAGGTGGGTCACCTTCTACAATCCCAGAACAGATGTGAAGGTGCACTATGGCAGGCTAAAGGGAGTTCATTTGCAGCCTGAGTTGGTCTGTTTGCTTCAGCTGGTTTTCTGGTGCTTATGTGTGAGGGACAAAAGATGTTGAACCAAAAAAGTATATTGCACTACAGCTGTTCACACCATAGTCATCTTTGGCTGTATTGCTCTTTAACCTAAATTTGTATTTTTATGCTATCCTAATTTGTATTTTTTCAATGGA